TAACTGACTACTGAATAAAATGACAGCCAAGTTGAACACGATAACTAAAAGTATGTTAATTAAGAAAATCTGTAGGCGTTCAAGGGTCAAGGTTAGCGTCCGATTGTGAAATGAAGATATATATATATATATATATATATATATATATATATATATATATATATATGACTAATCAATTCTAATTAGATTAATTAAAATACATATATTGCACAGTACTATATTTATTATTGTATCAGTAAGAGATACTATCGTCCAGTTAATGACGAATTCATAAATAATCAAAATGTTCACATGTATTCACTATAAAGTCCAATAGATTCTCTAAGATAAGTATTGGAACAAGTTGTTCAAGACGTCATGACACCAGAGTTAATTTTACGAGCCAATGCAATGAGAAGTATGTGTAAGAAGTTATGAAGCTAAACGATGCTCCCTAGAGGCGAGGTCATAGATGCCCCCGTTGCTAAGGTGTCCCGTACTCGGACTAAATATCTGTTCGATGCTCCTAGGTTGTCAATGATTGCCTAACGTAGATCAGTTCGTGATCTTAATAAAATTCAGCATTCTTCATTACCCCAAATACTGATAAGTAATAAAATAGTTTGCAAGATACTTTTTGATAATAATTTGAAATACCTTGTCTTCAACATTAAAAATATTCTCGATTATCTTTTTAAAACTTAGTACTTATCAATTACATTTAAATATTATCTTTGTAGTTGATAAATTTATTAAGAGACTAATGTATTTTCCCTACTAGTGGCCACATTGAAGTTTTATTAATAAAACTGGATCGATGCTAAAGGACTAAACAAACATGACATTGGTCACTGCTCAATCATTAACCACCTGTAACTATCTCAGTTGCACAGGAAGTTAGTCGACGTCTAAATCGCTTATTGGTAGAATCTCAGGTTATCAAGCTAAGTGATACTGGTTCAAATGGCACAGTATCATGGGGGGAGGTTTTTCTACCAGTAACTAACAAAATGAAACTTTTGATTGTCAAAATAAATGGATAGAATGCTAATTAATAGATTATATTAAGTGTAACTGAGTAATGGCTGCTCACGAGAGTGCATTATTGAGGTAAGTCCGGGCATGATTAAAAACCTAAGGTAAGACCACTTACCAGATGAATGGGTATATATATAACATTAATACAAAATAAACATGGTAAAGTGTCATCAGAGACTGGATGTAATCTAATTGCTAAGCCTAAATCTTGAATATTGTACCGCACAAAGATAACATCAGTTTCCCTGGGAATTCAGGTAAACTTTGCTAAGAAGTTCCAACTAACATAAAACCTAAGGCTAGGGATTTTATGCTTTACCACCTCAAGTTAACTGACCTATTTCCCCTTTGATATGAAGAGTTTTGAGATTTGTTAAATAAACGAGTTTCAATTGTAATCCATTTATTATTTCACTGATAAGAAAAATATTTAATATATGGTTATGTAATAAACTTTCTAATAGGATACAGCTTTAAAATAGTTGAATCAGGCAATATTCATTTAGTGAGTATTGGCTGGGACTCTTCAAGGAGTCATATACCAGTTAAACTGCTTTACTTGTAAATATTAAGGGGAATAAAATCTAATTTCACACACTTAATTCCTTTAGCATCTTTTTGTTTCTACTATTAACGGCTTGATTGTTGAAGTCAGTCTCTACAGATCGTTTCTTTGAGCATTACAAACTAGAATCTCTCAGGTGGATTAAGATGTATTTTACACAGGATTATTTTAAGCAGAAGTACCATTGTAGATCATAAATCTGAAGCCAGCTGGACCATCATTTACACCGGGTGAAATGAAATTTCACCGTCATTTTAATAGAAACTGTGAACTTCACTGAAAAGACCCTTTGTTTGAACATTATTTATCATAATTATTCTAGTACATACGTTACAAACAGTCACATCAATAGATTGGCTCAAGTATGGATGCATCATCGGTGCATAAAAGAGAGGAGGTTATGAGGCTTCTTTGAAATAAATTCTCGAATTCCATATACTATGATAATCACTTATTAATTCATTTTTGTATTATTTGTTTGAATCTTCCCATTGATGTTTAGATCTGAAATTGATCAGTTTCTTATTAGCATATGTGCATTCTGTGAGGAATGTCTCGATTTAGCCTTAAGTCACAAACATTCTAATAGTGGAATCCATGACGCGCGTCTCGTCCTATTCGGGACTGGTCAGCTGGATGTACCTGCATTCTAAAGTTGATATTCACTTTGGAACTCGAACCCAGTATCGTTCGCTCCAAACATCGATGGGAAGATTCAAACAAGCAATACAAGAATGAACTAAAACTTTACCTGAACGCACGAGCTGGTGGCTTTCTGGACTCAATAACTAAGTGGATTTCTAGGTGGTATTTGGAGCGAATGGTACTGGTTTCGAGTCCCAGAGTGGATATCAACTCTGGGTTGCAGGCAAGTCAAACTAACGGGTCCAAAATATGACGAAACACAAGTCCTGGGTTCCACTGCTAGCCACTATTCATCTTTGCTTATAATCACTCTTATTGCTGATGAAACGCTAAATGACACTAAACCTTGTCAACTTCTATATTTTCTATGCTACTCATAAGTAGTAAGGATAATAAGATCAAATATTTTAGACAAAATGGTCAACTGTTCATTAGATTCGATGCCAGAATTATTAATATCAACAAAATATACATTTTCCTGATTTTCATTCCCTTGCGACCGAAAGAACATCAAAGAATTGGCAGATTCCGAAAAAAATTTTATGGACTATCATTTTATATATTCTTATTGCATTATGGATAAATAATTGGAAAACTATATTTCTTTATTCCATTTATTGTAAGCTTCCGTTTAGTTCATTAACAACCGTCCTATTGTTCATAACTTATTGTTAACTATCTACTCGTGATTTGACCTGTTCAATGCCACCTTTCGCTTATACATGAATTGATTTTTATATAACGATATGATGCCTGTACATCAACGCACGTGTGCTGGATACATTTTAGAGTACATGTTAAATATTTTTGTTTCAAGGAATCTTGCCATAGAAGTCAGTATTATGAGATGTAGACTGACTTTGATGATCATTAATACAGTGGCAGAAATACTGAAGAACTGACTGTCTAGACCACTGTGAGTGACCTTTTATAAAGCTGAACTCTGAATAGTTTTATCCAGTAAGAACCTCACTCGAGGAAATGTTACTCGCTATTGTAGATTAAGTTACATTTCTCATGCGAAGCGTATACTTGCTAAACAAGTATCCAAACACTTCTCTGCATGGCTATCTAAAGGGGAATACAAGTTAAGGAAAAGTTTAGTCCCCGAACATATGGTCCATTCTGTTCAATTGCCATTACAAGAATCAGTGTTCAAGATCATTGACAAAATCAAAAGGACTGATTTAAAGTTTAGATTAAAATTTTGTACACAGTTAGACTATATCAACTCACCACTTCAAACCTGATCTCTGTGTATAAAAGGATTATGTTCAGTTCCTTATTTTTTGATGGTTCAAGAAACCCTTTTGATTTTCACAAATCATAAGTTTCATTCATTATCTTTCTTTTCACTTTCCTCTTTGTAAATTAAATAGTTGTCTTTCAAATTTATTCCATACATTCTGATTCTTTGGTAAATTTAAATAATAAAACAAGTTTCATTGACATTCACTGCTGACGTTAAGTTCACTTTAAGTTCACTAATTGTTTTGATTATCATTCATGTATCAGAGATGTATTTTATTCATTGTCTCTTTATATAGTTAGATAGAATATGGCTAATAGTGTAATTCAGGACACGTCAATTGAGTGCATCTGTGTCCCAGAGTTGATGTTCAGTTCAAGATTCTAACTGAATCCTTCAAGCACTTAACGCTTTATCTATTTGGCTACGGAGTTCGGATAGAAATTCAATTGTGCAACGGGTATGAGTCTTAATTTAATATGCATTGGTTTAGATTATCTCGTTATTGGTACTTTGGTGGAATTCTGATAAGTCTCAGCTTCCATATGTGTATCTTGTGTGGAGTGCTTTGATCTTACCATCATAACACAGGTTTTATGGAACAAATAAAAAGTTGCTTGCAGTGGAATCCAGGACACCCGCTTCATTCCTAGTCATTTATAAATTCTCCTCTTTCTCTATATGACTTCATCTTCACCATATAAACACTATTATAGTAAATATGTTATTTGCTCTTCTATTTTTTGTGTCGTTTCGAACCAAACTTCAGTCAGTGATAAGTAATACTGAAATAGAACAAAATCATTTTATTCTGTAAATTTCGTTTTTTTAACTTTATTTCTCATCACCTCTAGGAATACTACATTGTTTAAACTAGTTTTTACTACTACTAAACAGTTTCGAAATTAAAGTAAAACAACCCTCGTGAATCCAAACAATTCTCCAACTGATGTCAGTATATGATAAAAATTAACTTCAAACCGAATACTGTATATATGATAAATATTATTGCTAACTTTCATAATATGATCAATATTAGTATAGGGAGATTTGTGGAGATTCTTCCATTTTTATAGTCTAAATCATGAACTGATTTTAGTTAGACTATTATTAAAAACCTGGAAGCACTGAACGACTATTTTGTCAATAACTGAAATCTCGTGAAATTTCGGCGAAGATTACTTTAACCAAGTTACTTCTACTAACTATCAGTAAGTATAGTATTTGTATTAAATGATTATTCCTTTTTACTTGATTGAACGCTTATTATAAATTTCAAATATAATACATTCATTTGTGCTCATCTATTTGTACCTGACTTAAACAATACTATTTTGGAAATCTTTAGTTAGCACATTCATTCGAATCTCATAAGGCGGGATCGTGGATGCTCACTGCTGAAGAGTCTCACAATAGGATGAAGCGGTTATTAAGTGCTTCCAGGTTTTCAATAGTGGTTTAGCTTCAATTGACTCATGATCTCAACTATTGAAATTAATTCTAATTATCATTGAAAATTAGTTATAATTTGATATAATTCATTTATTTGTACATAAATTTTATTGTTATTTTTTTTAAAAAGATACTATACAATACTAATACAATTTTAAGAACAATTTAACGACCCATAAGAAAACGTTCAATAAACTCGGTTTGTTCAGCTTCTTCTTTTTGTAATGATTGTAATTGAATATTCAACCTAGTAATAGGTTTTTGTTCCCCCCGAAATATTTTGTTTTGTTAAAAGAAAAAGAAAGCTAAATTTATAGTATTCAATTACAATATTGAAATATTTATAGCCAAAATAAAAAAAAAACAACTTTAATGTTGATTAATTGGAGAAGTAAAATAAAAGCACAATTGGTTTATAACAGGACAGAAGATTGAATAATAGATAATTAATGGTCATAGCATAGGAGGTTTATTGAGGTTGTTGAATTGTATAGTCTACTTCACGAACTGGTTTTATACAAAGATGAAACAATTACCAAGTTTATCTTGGTTTTCAGTGGCTGCCTAAGGGCTTGATCGTGATGTAGATCTTAAATTTCAGAAATCTTCACAGACCTCTCATGCTAATAATAATTATACTTGCATCAGTGATTAGTGTTGAGAGGCAATTTCTAAAGTAATTTTGAGAGATTGTAGCCAGTAGAGTCCAGAATTGTCGAGTGTAAGATAGATATCCACCAACGATGAAAAAAATTGCATTACTATATCCCGAATCGATTGGATATCGACTGAGAGATTTAAATGTCAAGCGCTCTCTGCGAGGCCGAAATGTCCTGGGTTCGATTTCCAGTTAGATCGATAATGTGAACTGCTGGGGAGTTGCATACTAGGACGAAACGTTTGTCCAGTGTTTGTTGCTTCCCAATAGTTACTAAACTAACGTTAGTCCGTGATATGGACCATAGAATAACTAATCCAAAATGTGAAGTAAAAATAGTCTAGCATCATAAATTTACAATCGTATAGTCTAGTTTCAATCATTTATTCTCTTCCATTTCAATTTATTATTTTTCTCTAATATGTTTAATTCGCTTGTATTTAACGTATGATAAATTGACAATATACAATCATATGAATAAATACACGTTGTTTTATATTCAAATGGGACACTAAATGTCAAGCTGTAATAGATAAATTTTCATAGTTATTTTTATCATTTTATTTTTTTCAATATTCCTTGAAATATTAAACGAATGATTGTGACTCGTTTAATAGTCTTTTAGAAATCTATACTTATTATTACTAGAGTAAGTTATTTATTTCATGTATGAAGTGCAAATTAGTGTATTTAACTTTGCAATAAACCAAAATTGTGTGGATTAATGATGCTATTGAGTTGTTCAAGCCAAAGTATATGGGGAGAATATCAAACTTATCACAAAGTTAATAAGTTCCATTAACAATTTCATTAGGTTGATATAGTAGATCAAAAAACTTGTTATTATCCCATGACCAGTACATTCTTTGCCATCATAGATCTAAATATAGTAAGCGTTCATTTAGTTTTAATGAAATGTCCTTCTTATTGATGTAACAAAACGAAGACTGAATAAATAGTAACTCTAGAAACTGTTTTATGGAGTTTTACTGTATATATTCTTACTATGTAATTACACAATAACTGGAATACTATGTTTTTATTTTCCGTTTATTGTAAGATTCCATTTGGAAAACTAACTACCATTACTATAGGTATTATTATTCTTAATTTATGGCTAGTCAGTTATTCATAACATTTCTGGTTTCACTTCCATTATCAGCATGTCTGTGTATCACCATGGTTTTCTACTTTATGATATGATGTAGTACGGTATATTTGTTTATAAACCTATGTGCGTTTGTAATATAATAGTAGGTTTGATGCTGTCTCTTATTTTATGACTGATAGTTGGGAATAGAAGAAGGTGGGGGTATCGGCGGATCAGTAGGACTTAAGCTTACGGTAGTTCAAGTTTTGTCATGTCGGTTGGATTGTATCATTAGTCAAGGCTAAGGACTCTAGATCATAGAAGGAATAGATTATGATTGTAATTATTGTTGATGAATCGAACAGGTGGTGTCGACTAACGTCTCAAACACTTATGACAGTATTTTCCTTTACGTTGTTCTAATCAAGACTACATACATAACACAGATATTACTTTGGAAACGAACACTTACAAAATCAAAGACAATTTTGATGTCATATAGTAGAGATCCCTAGAACAGTGTTTCGTATCGTTTTGCCCTTTTCATCACAATGTATTTGCAATCTTGACAGAACTGATGCTCTCCATGGGATGCATCACTCAATCTCGATCGCTTCCTATTTACCATCTCAAACTAACTAATATCAGAAAAAAGTAGAGCATGCGATATAGATTTAGTCAGAGTAACGACTATATTCCAACTTGATGAATAAAATTCAACTAAGAGTAAGGACTGGACGAAAGTGTTATTAGTTTTCACCCGGTAATCAATGAATGTAAATCTAAGATTGTACTATTTCTACAAATTGTGCAAATTAGAACTGTACGTAGTGGAGTGATTGAACCGAATAGGAGATATAATAGTTCAAATTATCCCGTTTTTAATATCGACTTAATTCTGGTCAGTCTTAGTTGGTATATGTGCATCCTATGCGGATCGCCTCTATCTAGCCATGGTATTACAATGTTTTATGGAATGGATATGATGTGGCTAACAGTGGAATCCAAGAGGAAGGTTTGGTCGTAAAACTGATCAAAATTTAGTCAAAATATCACCAACGGGAAAATTCAAACCATTAAAATTTAGTTAAAATTCATATCCGTTGCATGAGCAACTAGGTATCTGGACTCACGGCTAAGTAGATAACATGATGGGTGTTTGAAGTAAAACGTACTGAGTTTAAAGTTTTTTAATAACGGTTTTACACTGCTCTTATTTATCTTCAATTATATATAAACGTAATTTTTCTTAAGGTAAAAACATTTAAACACTACTGAATACTTTTTGTTAAGGATGCATAATACATTGTATAATCAATAGTCAAGTATAAAATTTTAGAGCCAGGTGCGAGATCTAAGTACATAGAAAATGTGCGATTTAAAAGTCATTATCACGACGATCCGCTTAACATCCATATACGTCATTTTTGACTGATCAGTTATAGGAACTGTACAAGCCCTTAGAAATAACTTCGTAACTGTTGAACATGTTAATAGTTGTCTGAATTAAATAGAAGATATAACGGCAGAAATAGAAATTATTTTCTATTCGCCGCGATATACTGCTACTACATGATAATATGAAAGATCAGTGACTGAGATTTATACCACCACTGGACTGGATACTCTGTTGAAATGTTATCCACAGACTTAATCGTGTTATATCAGATACGTAATTCATGTCCAAAAACAGAGAACTAGAATAATTACAAACAGTCAATAATCCGTGAGTCCAGGGTCGAAAACAATAAAAGGGAGGAAATTGTATACTTAATAGTAAGTAATCTGGATCTAGTTGTTCATCCTCAGTGACCCATCACATTCTACTCTCACTAGCCACACATAAGTAGCATAATGGATAGCGTATCACATTGTGAGGTGATCAGTAATGGGTTAAATCCTCATTGTAAATATCAATGTAAATGCGGATACATGCACCTAACTGGTTACAAATAGCACGAAACAGTCGTCCAAGATTCCGTTGGCATCCACAAACTAAGCATAATAAGAATAACTCACCTATCTATATCTTTCTTTTTGGCCAATATCTGGGATTCCAAGTGTTTTTGTTGTAAATCTCTTTGCTTTTCCATAGAGGTAAGTAGGTTTCTTGAACCAATCGCCTAAATAAATGTGTATGTAAATATTTATTCTTTATTAGAACAAACTTTTAGCTTTTGCGATTCAACTTTTTCAGCTACAGAGCTGATCAGGTTGAGAAGTTCTCCAATAATCATCTTAAAGTCGCTCATTTCTAGGAAAGAAAGAAGTTCAACATGAAGTAAGAGTTCAGCATTGAGTACACTAAAATAATTTTATTCTATATTATCACCCAACAGCACTGAACTTGAGATTGAAGTAAGGGACAAGTGGAACTATAAAAGGAGTTTTGGAGTTGGTTTTTATCAATGGCGAATGTTACCTTGGAAAATATAACAAACTATAAAAAACGGAAGTATGCTTTGTTCCAGGTTTAAGCTTATTAGAGTCGTGCATAAACCATACAGCGAATGTAACTCAAGATATATATGTTTTATGGCTGGTATTACACAACTAAGCTAATGAGTGAGAGGTGAGTGTTTCACTTTTTCACCCTCACTTGATCTACATTATTGCCCAACAACCGTGAATTATTGTCAATGATAACAGTTTTACTGTCAGTATATTGATCATGAATCCTAATCATACATTTGAAATTTCACCTCATATCTCCTGACTAGTAGCCACACAGTCGATAATGCATTAAGGGATTGTGAATGCTTTTTGGGTTTTAACGTTAATGAAGTGAGTGAGTAATGTCGAGAAGTTTGAGAAAAGAAAGAAACATATGTTCATTATTCCTAAGTTTCCAAATGTTCTTTGTCTGATGTCAGTCTGTAAAGGAAACTTGATTAAGAACTAAACAACCCTCATCTCAAAACAAACCTACTGGTGTTAAGTACTAGTTCGTTAAAGTACTTTCTAATTTCAAGTTATCATGGGGCTTACAAACAATGAATAGTCAACATATGTTTTAACTAACTTAGAAGCTAATTTTAAAATAAGTTTATTTCAGTGAATATAGTGATATCGTATAAGGTATTAAGTTTATGCCTGAAATCGGTTTATCTTTTGGCAAGGAATTGTATAGATTGAACGATGACAGATCAATCGTTATCAATATTTTCATGAAGTCGATTGCAATATCATAAAATAAGTGTTGTAATTGCAACCTTTACATTTTAACTTGTTGTGGTTTCGATTACTTACTTACTTACGCTTGTTACTCCCCGCAAAGGGGCATAGGCCGCTCATCAGTATTCTCCATCCAACCCTGCCCTGGGCAATCCTTTCCAGCTCTTTCCAGTTCTTATTCATACTTTTCATATCCGCTTCTATTTCTCGACGTAAAGTGTTCCTTGGCCCTCCTCTTTTCCGCTTCCCTTTAGGATTCCAAGTTAGCGCTCGCCTCGTAATGCAGTTTGATGATTTCCTCAATGGATTTCCTATCCATTTCCATCGTCTTTTCCTAATTTCCTCTTCAGTTGGAAGTTAGTTTGTTCTCTCTCACAGAAGGCTGTTGCTGATGATATCCGGCCAATGGATGTTGAGTATCTTGCGTAGACAGCTATTGATAAATACTTGTACCTTCTTGATGGTGGTACATGTAGTTCTCCAAGTTTCAGCTCCGTACATTAGAACTGCCTTTACGTTGGTATTGAAGATTCTGACTTTGATATTGGTCGAAAGTTGTTTTGAGTTCCATATGTTCTTCAATTGAAGGAATGCGGCCCTTGCTTTGCCAATCCTCGTCTTTTCGTTTGTATCTGATCCTCCTTGTTCATCGATGATGCTTCCCAGGTATGTGAAAGATTTTACATCTTCCAGAGTTTCGCCATCAAGTGTGATTGGCTTGCTGTTCTCCGTGTTGTATTTGAGGACCTTGGTTTTCCCCTTGTGTATGTTGAGGCCTACTGATGCAGAGACTGCTGCTATGCTGGCTGTCTTTATCTGCATTTGTTCGTGTGTATGTGATAGGAGGGCTAGGTCATCTGCGAAGTCCAAGTCGTCTAATTGGTTTTGTGTTGACCATCGTACTCCGCGCTTTCCCTCAGATGTCGAGGTCTTCATAATCCAGTCGACCACCAGAAGAAAGAGGAAGGGAGAGAGTAGACAGCCTTGTCTGACTCCGGTCTTTACTTGGAATGCATCTGTCAGCTGTCCTCCATGCACTACTTTGCACTGTAGTCCGTCGTATGAGTTCCGGATAATGTTGACAATCTTCTGAGGAACTCTGTAGTGTCGAAGAAGTTTCCATAACGTCCTCCTATCTACACTGTCAAATGCCTTCTCATAATCAATGAAGTTGATGTACAGTGACGAGTTCCACTCAATTGATTGTTCGACGATGATCCGTAGTGTCGCAATCTGGTCTGTGCACGACCGGTCCTTACGGAATCCAGCTTGTTGATCTCGAAGTTGAGCGTCTACTGCGTCTTTCATCCTGTTCAGTAACACTCTGTTAAAGACTTTTCCTGGTATTGACAGTAGTGTAATGCCTCTGTAATTTTCACACTTGCTCAGATCTCCTTTCTTTGGAATCTTGATGAGGTGTCCTTCTTTCCAATCCATCGGCACTTGTTCCTCCTCCCAAATCTTCTTGAATAGAAAATGAAGCATGCTTATAGTTACTTCGATGTCTGACTTCAGTGCTTCAGCTGGGATATTGTCAGGTCCTGCTTCTTTCCCGCTCTTGATTTGTCTGATGGCCATTCTGATTTCTATTGTCGTTGGTGGATTGACATCTGTAGGAAGATCTGTGTGTGCCGCTTCGATGTCCGGTGGATTCATTGGAGCCGGTCTGTTCAGGAGTTCCTCAAAGTACTCTGCCCATCTGTTCCGCTGTTGCTGAATCTTAGTGATCGGTCTTCCTTCTTTGTCTTTGACTGGTCTCTCTGGTTTACTGTATTTCCCTGCAAGCTTCTTCGTCGTATCGTAAAGCTGTCTCATATTTCCTTCTCTTGCAGCTTTTTCCGCCGTCGTTGCTAGTTCTTCCACGTATTTTTGCTTATCAGCTCTAATGCTGTTCTTCACTTGTTTGTTTGCTTCTATGTACTCAGCTTGTGCTTAGACTTTCTCTGCTCGTGTTCGGCTGTTGTTAATTGCTGTCTTCTTGTTCTTTCTTTCTTTGATCCTGTCTAGTGTTTCTATAGAGATCCATTCCTTGTGGTGGTGCCTTTTGGGGCCCAGAACCTCTTGACACGTTGAAGTTAATGCTTCTTTGATACCTTTCCAGTTATCCTGAATAGTGGTTTCTTTTTCCTTCAGTAGATCCTGTAGGGCTTGAAACCTGTTGTTGAGAGCTATCTTGAATTCATTGAGTTTGTAAGTATCTCGAAGGAAGGCTGTATTGAACCTTTGCAGCGCTGTTTGTCCAGTTGTCCAGTTCTTCTTTAGCTTCAGTTTTAAATTGGCCATAACTAGGTGGTGATCTGAGTCTATGTCAGCTCCTCTTCTGGTTCTCACATCTTCCATTGTCCTTCGGAACTTTTTATTGATGCAAATGTGATCTATCTGGTTCTCTGTGGTGTGGTCCGGTGAGATCCATGTAGCTTTGTGTATACGTTTGTGTGAAAATATTGTGCCGCCTATGACCGATTTGTTGAATGCACACAGATTTACAAATCTTTCCCCGTTTTCGTTTCTCTCTCCCAGTCCATGTAGTCCCATGATGTCTTCATATCCGGTGTTGTCCATTCCGACTTTGGCGTTTAGATCTCCCATCAGAATGGTGAGGTCCTTTCTTGTGCACTTCTCTATGATTGATTGCAGCCTCTCATAGAATTGATCTTTAACGTTGTCGTTGCTATTATTGGTGGGTGCATAACATTGGATAATGTTCATTGTGATCCCCTCCTTCTTTGTTTCGAATGATGTTTTGATGATTCTGGATCCGTGAGATTTCCATCCTACAAGTGCATTTCGTACTACTTTGGACAGCATTAGAGCAACTCCTTGAGTGTGTGGAGCATTTTCCTCTTCGTGACCAGAGTATAGCAGCATCTCTCCGGTATTTAGCCATTGTTGTCCAGCTTGGGTCTAATGGGTTTCACCGATTCCCAGTACTGCCAAGCTATATCTTCTCATTTCCGTTGCTACTTGACTAGTCTTCCCGGTCTCCCACATTGTCTGGACGTTCCATATACCTATAAATATTGTTGCTCTGGTTGTTAGAAGATACATCGGCCTCATGGCTTCCAAAGGAACTCAGCTTTCACCATGAGGCGTCATATTTCTTCTAAATGAAGACCTAACTCCCAGGGCAGAGTTTAAATGGTTTGAGTTATGTTTTCTGGTTAGCGTTTTTTAGCGAGTTAGTTTTCTACGGGATGGGGACGCTAACCCCATGCCCAACCCTCCTCCTTTACCCGGGCTTGGGACCGGCAGTTACTCTAGAAGATCTATAGGCAGAGTTCTGGTTTCGATACCCAATCTTAAAACTGTGCCATTATATATATATATATATATATATATATATATATATATATAAAGTCCCGAAACATAATACAGATTTCTAAAAAGTCAGTGACTGAAAAGACAATTCCTAAGATGATATTTTGAATGAAATAAAAATTTATCAGACACAAACACATTTCGTTGAATGTTTTTCTTGATGAATGTATTTTACAACTAAGTATAGGCCTTTAAAGAACATCAAATGCATTTTTCTACAAACATAAATACTTTATTTAAAACAATATTTGGTTAAACCAAGATCAAATGAAGGCTGACATGTGGGGCACAATTAAGATATTGAATTCAAGACCTTGTCTATCTATATTTTTCAAGTGACAAACGTTTTTCTGTGTTTTAACAACACACGATGAAAGATCTTCATATGATTGTCAATATGAAACAATTCAATTGAAGTTGGTATAACCATGGACTAATTAAGGAAACCTTATAAAGCGTCTGTACAAGTTCCAAAAACACAAATTATTTTTTTATGCTTATTTGTAATACAGATTCAAAATTATAAACCTAATTTGGTTTTTAAAAGATTTCCAACAACAATTAAACACATATATGCAGTCAAAGAGAATGTACTTTATTCATCGTAGAGTACTTGTTTAAAAGCTTGGGTCTGACAGTGGCACACGTTCATCAAACGCTTGATAAAATGTCATAACAGTTTAATTCTTAAGAATACATTTACCATTTTCTTAAAACCAGAATTTCACATATCTAATTGACCAGGCCATCTTGAGAGAAATGGATATTAGCATTTAGGGAACTTGGTTATACTTCAAGAACGTTTTAGTATTATAAGAGTAGTGGTGTAACATTAAAGATCCGAACTTGTCTATAGATGTTACTCGTTATTGTCAGTAAATAACCCGCATGATAGCTCGAGATTTTCCCACAAGACTATAAAAAATGGGGAGTGTTTTTTCAAAATATTAACTAGATTCTGCGTAGTAACCGATAATATACATTTTGATACTACTATGACAGCAAATAATGATGAAAAATAAATGATAGCGATGGTTTATTACTCCTGAAGGCAGCATCGTTTGTTTTACTTAACTAAAGTATTTAAAAACGATAGGTCCAACATCAACACTAATTAGTATGCTGTAGCGCATATTCTGTTGCTGAAATATCGGTTTTATATGTCCACTTAAGCGATTTTGTATTGAAGCCTTTGCATAGATTACCCCCAGATCTCTTTGAAGCCAGTTCTATCGACACATCTACCATTTGGTAGATATAAAGATATATGCATTTAAAAATATGAAGGCAAAACCAGGGTCCAATTTCAAGATCAGGTAAATGACTTGAAGTGTCTAAATAATAAATAGAAACATTTGCCTTTTACGTTACTATTGTACCAGATCACAGTATTCTAAGTAGACCACTCTTGCACTTGCAGCCATAATGTTGTTTAGTAGTGACACAAGAACGAAGAAGACTATTCGTACCACCATCGTAAGTAATATAAGTAAAGGTCCCTGTAGTGCATTTCGGTGATAACTGATAGGTTTTAACTACTATAGTAGTGATTATAATGATTGTAATCATTGAAGAAAGAAGTTAAATTATAATGGATAGAGTTCGATAGCGTTAATACAGTTCATACTTGAAAGGTATTTTTCACATTCTTCTTTGAGTTCGTTTGTTTCTTGTGCGACTCTAGGATCAACTATTCGAAGTTTATAAAAATCATCAACATATAATCCAGCTTGAGCTAATGATTCGGCCATTGAATGTTTAATATTCAACTCAGTCGGATCGTTGAGATAGCTTCAGAAGCATACCTTTTTTTATGAGATGCGAACACGTGGCGGTTTGCTCCTACCCTGAGGGTACGCTTTAAAGCGTGTACGGAAATCTGAAAAGCGAAGAGGAGGAAATTTTTGAGAAGATACAGTAAGCACACATGTTATACTTACATTAAATGATAACAGCAACCTATAACAATTAGCAGTAAGACTGGAGTTAAGTTAAAACAATCTAGTAGTTGTGGAGTACAATTTCAAACGCGTTATATGTCCTTTCGCTATGTAACTATGCCGACCAAACATTCATTTTCCAATGTACAATACACGAAATATCCACTATCTGTATAAGAGACTGGTATAAGTCAGCTGGTTTTCTCGTTCATTTTTTGACGTTACGGCATGATTCCAGATCTTCGCGATCGTAAGATATAAATAGTATAGACACTTGAACAAATTCCCTCGTTAAGCGCAACGTTGGATCGTAAGTAAGATATTTTATTTTAATAACTTTGAATAATCACCATGTTGCATTTCATTGATATATTGTCTCATGCTTTTCTGGACTATAGAGATTACTATTTCAAATGATGGAAATAGTGTGTTTAGTAGTTCTTCTCTGCTCAGATACTCAATTTATTCCACGCACCCGTACCCACTCCAAAAGATTCATATTCCCTTTAGTTAAAGATGACTCGGTCACACTCTGAGTTTCAAGGTTGTAACTAGCGCTGGTATCGGAACTATAGACAGCGGAACCAATAGAATAGTGCAGGTGGTGAGTCTTTGGTGAACATGAAGACAGAGGTTCAGATTTCTTTGATTTGATCAATGGCTTTCTATTAAAATCAAAGCACAGGCAATAGAACCACGAGGATGAGTGGATAAACACAAACTAACAGTTGAGCTGTGTTATTATGGTGTTGGAACGTCATTAGACTTAGTTACAACACAAATTGCATTTTAATTCTGAGTCCCTGGTTATAACTAATGTGGAACACGTGATATGGTCATAATTTATGTCTACTCCTCAATCGTAAGGTAAAAATTTCAAGTACTGCGTTTAAAATCAATTTTTCTGTTTCCCTTTATTTTGTTACGTGTGGACCTGGAAACGGAAACCTTCATCAGTGTATGACCGCTGTTGTCCAATGTAGGGCCTAGATTAGGTGTTTGAATCATGTGACTGGTGCTATGTTCAGAGAGGACTTCTGAAAAAAATGGTTCTGTGTTTTTAACGAGGTTATGGAGCCTACTGGATCTGAAGAGCCGTCCGTATCTCATGTTGTGGGAATTGGCGGGAGCACTAATGATGTGCATGTTGTTTCGTGAACAAAACGATGTTTATTGTAGTGAACACGGATTACACACGACCAAAGCCTCATAAAAATTTGGACGTTAACCTTATTTCCAAATGTTTAAACAAGCAAATTTCTGATTATTAGAGAAGCAGTTTCGCAAGTCCTTTGCTTGTAAGTGTTCTAGCAAATGGATTCAGAGTTGTCGAAACTACCAAGGGACTCATTTATGAGTCAACGAAACCTACCACACAATGATTTATCCTTCACATGATATTGGTTGGGAATTTGGCAATTTCACATGGTATGCAGTCATGGGGAACAAAATAAATGTTTGTGGTACAGCTGAACATTTGACAACCGATAAGATGTAGTTGTTAGCTTGCAGCAGGGGACATCTCAGACCGAAAGAGCTCTTGTTTGAAGAAGTCACTCGAATTCTATATTTACTGCAGTAAAAATCCGTTCTTTATCCTATTGTATTTTCGAAAGATAAAAGCGAAGTTTTATATCCCAAGTATAAGACTCTGTAGTGATTGAAATATAAATAATTGACAAATATACGCTCCCAAATCCAGCTACAGCATGATCAAGTGAGTGGTACAGCCGAAAAAGAACTTGTTGATTAAGGACGAGGATCTACGAAGATATTGTTCTTTCTACAGTTCTAGAAAAAGTTTCCTGCAAAACCCAATAATAACTTTTTTGGAACCCAGTGTTCAGGAGATGACCGGCGAAACAGAACAAGACTAAAACATTACAGTTGAAATGATTAAAGAATCTGTGTTCAAAGCAGATGTGTCAAATACCTTTTAAATGCGTTGATAAAGACACTTTTAAAACACACCTGGCGGAAATAACATTTATTTTATCATGGGTGAATAGATTTTTAGCACCACTACAAAGTATAATCTACACAAGAATCGAGCACCAATCACAAGTAAATGATGAAGAATCATATTGGACTTTAGGGCTTTCGACTGTATGGTGACAGCCATCGTTAACTTCGCTATCCCTAGGACTTATAGCAATAACCCTAGTGATCCGATTAATCCAGGCCCAAATAGAAGACACATTTTCTTATTATAACCTGGTAGAACTCTCACTTTTCTGACCTCAACCTCATTTGTTCTATAGACCCAACCATCCTAAAAAACACCGCTGTCAGGAGTTCAAAGGGCACTTCTTCTTTTCTATCGTCTCCAACGTATGAGATGGTGGCATGTTTCAACATCAGTAATTAGCCATAATGCTTAAGGTTTTCCAATGAAATGCGAACTATTCCCCATGACTTAACTTCACCGTTACTGAACTTTGTATCTGTTCACAAAGCGTGCTGAATTCACACATTTCCACAGATTTACATAAGCAAAACTAGGGGTCGTTGAAACCCCATTCTCTCCAAGTGTCATCCATTGACTGTTCTTGTTTCCGATCAAAGAAAATTATAGAATTTATCAGAAACTCCACATCCGTAAACTTCGCATAGAATGGTTAAGAAGCTTCGACTTATGTCCGATTATGAACATTCACACGGTTGAAAAATGCCATTTCTAGTTTCTCGTTTGTGCCCAGTAACCTTAATCAGTCGACAGAACACGAAAATCTTCGTTGAACCATGGAGAGTGTTTTCTTGAATTTAGTGGTATCGACCATTGGCGCCGGTACATAGATCAAGAATTAAAACATGGTCACTCTCACCTAAGGTTGGTATGTCATTAAGGTTTAGAATGTCTTCCTTTTAATGAGCTAATATGAGGTCAAGCTCGAGTACTTGTTACAGGAGGACTGAAAACATTTAAGTGATTAAAAACTGTTACATTAAGTAATAATAATTTCACTGTGTTTTTGGATGAATTTATTTTGCTCAACCCTTAAACGTGTTTGTTTATATCGTTGACTTCAGACATTTTATTTTCTCGTTGTCTTTGGTTTGGTATTTGGGAGGTATTGCTCCGGGAACCCAGTAAATTGAAGGCTTGTTTTGTCATTGTTATAGTCATTATTAGAGCGATAATCGGGTCGATTTTTGAAAAAAACTTTGGTGCCTGAATTGGAGTTTGGTTCTATTGTTATTTTGGGCTCGTAAATTATAAGTAGATTAACATACCGTGCCTCAAGGACGCGAGAGCAGAAACTTGAACGTAACACAAAGTTCTTCGATTCTAGTCTATTTTTGAATTCCTCATACTTTTGATCTCTTTGAACGTTCATTTTGAACCAACCATTAATTATGTTCATCGATTTACTTGAATTCCTTTTGGGATAACTTAAATGGAACGAAGATACACAATGGAAACTAAAATTAAAAAATCGAAGGAAAATGCGGAAATGGAAGGTGAGATCCCTAAAGCTGTTTGTGATATGTATGCTGTTAATGATAAACATAATGGTATAGGTGTTATTGGTGTGGGTTCTGATCGACTTAGTTCTTCTAGACCTAAGTTAGGTATAGCGTTACTTAGGAAGAAGAAATAATAAAAAAGACTTGAATTAGAAAAGTAGCCTTAGATGTTCGATTTCGAAGAGGAAGTTGACAATGCTGAATAATATAACCACTGTGAATGATACCACTTCCTGATGAAGATGCCACAAGTATTCAGATTTTGACAACGCTTTTACCCGTAACACCTATTATGAAGCGTACCCACCAAGTGAAATCAAAAGACAGAAGCTAGGAGATCGAAGATATATTTGATAAGCTATCAATATATTGAGGATCGTTTGAACTAATCTGGCTAGCGATTGCAACAGATGTTGAGCATGGCGTTCCCACACGTGATCTAGTGCGGATAATTGACCGAGCGCCTTCAGCTAGATGAGTCCATCCAATGTCGAAAACTTACAAAGCTATTTATTTTGGGGATTTATTTACCGCTACACTGAAAATGTTTAGAAGTAAATTTAGAGATATTTTCTTTGGATGAGAAGGTATCTGTACAGATCACTAGGGCTTATACGACAGAGAGATTTCTAATCGATTATTCAGAACCCCTAACTGAACAACAGCTGAGATTGTGGAAGCATTTGAAGGATACAACGCTTTTTTAAGTTGCGAAATAGTCTGTTAGGAGTCTTGATTGGTCGCGATGCTCCAAGCACACACCGGATTTTGGAACAACTTCTGGGAGACAGGTAGGTCTTGCTCCATGCATAGTGAAATGGTGAGCCGATTATAAGTAGCCTAGTGAGAAGGCCAATTGATGGCAATCAGAAGTTACCTGAAGGATAGGTGCACTTTGTTGGCTAAGTAATGGATCAACTTGATAAAATGTAAATTCGTATATATATATATATATATATATATATATATATATATATATGAGTATTTGTTGATTTTATTCGGTAGCCCAATATGCTCTCAAGCTCACCCTTGTGTTCTCCGTTAAGTAGTCAGTCGAGAGTTTGGCACATAGTACATCGTGGATCACTATCATACTTCGGACATTGTCCGTCACAACTATCTATCTCACACATTCTACTTCCATGAGATTTATTGTCAGTAGTAGTTAAAGGGATGCTACTTTTCATGAATGATGATACTCTTGGCATACGATTATGGGTTAGTTCAGGTCCCACTAAAGTTTTAAAAGTTGAGATTAACTCAGCTAATCACTCTGATATCAAAGTAGTCTCATCTGGTCTAATTGGGCCTGTCTGTACGTCGACCCCCGACCACTTGCTGTGCAAGCCACAAGAATTTACACAACACACCCAAAAACCACTGTGTTGTTTGCACTACTTGATAAGCGCAAAATACGGCATTTGAACGTGTAGAACCCCACAGTTTCAAAATTAGAAGACAGCAGAAACCTGGAGAAGTGTTTGTTGGATAAGAATCAAAATGTACGGAAAATCATGGGTATTTATGGATATTAGCGATAGTTATGTCATTATTATAATCTAGCCATATTTCGAAAAGGCAAGTTATGCTGCTGTCTAACCGTAGCATGCCGTGCTGTCATTCTAGAAAGCTCCATCACGT